AAGCGAATTCGCGCCGCGCTATGGCGAGAGCCACATTTTGAAAACGACCCGCCCTCAATCCGTGAAGCTGTTGCAAATGTTTAAAACGAATGTGCGCCGCGCTGAGGCGAGAGCCACACTTTGAAAACCACCCGCCCTTAGTCAGTGAAACTCTTGCAACTATTGGAAACGAACGTGCGCCGCGCTAAGGCCAGAGCCACATGTTGAAAGCCACCCGCCTTCAATCCTTGAAATTCTTGCAATGTTTAAAGCGAATTCGCGCCGCGCTTTGACGAGATCCACATTCCTCTATCCGTGAAACTGTTGCAAATGTTTAAGCTTTAGAGTCATAAGTGGTGGGGACGTCTCAGGCGAAACGCCCGGCCCGCCCTAAAAACTGGCCTCGTGGTGCGACAGGGAAAATTTTTAATAAGGGAAAGGAATGGATGAGGAGGAGGAGGAGGAGGAGGAGGAGGAGGAGGCGGAGGCGGAGGAGGACGAGGAGGAGGAGGAGGACGAGGAGGAGGAGGAGGAGAGGGGCGAGGAGGAGCAGGAGCAGGAGCAGGAGCAGGAGCAGGAGGATCAGGAGGAGGAGGACGACGACGACAAGCACGAGGACGAGGACGAGGAGGAGGAGGAGGTGGAGCTGGGTGCGAGGGAGGAGGAGGCGGAGGAGGAGGAGGAGGAAAAGGAGGATGTTTGTTTCCCTTCCCCCCAACACAAAAATACAAAACAACAAAACTCGCCCCCCCCCCCCCCCAATCCACCTCACACCCACCCACATGTTTGCTTATTCCCCAATCAGTGCTTGCACTGAAGGGGTCCTAGCGGAAGTTTCCCAATCAGTGCTTGCACTGAAGGGGTCCCAGCGGAAGTTGAAAGATTTGGCGAAAGTTTCCCGCCAATTTTGATAGCAGGCTGGGTTCCCGGGTTCCCGGTTCCAGTTTCCCAGGTTCCAGGTTATTGGTTCCGCGCCGATTTCGGTGGGTTTTGGGTTCTCAGCCTCCTGGGTTCCCGGTCGATCTTCTCAGCGAAAACCATCCTCTGATTGGGTTTTTCTCTGGTGTAATTGAAAGATTTGGCGAAAGTTTCCACCGATTTGGGTAGCAGGCTGGGTTCCCGGGTTCCCGGTGGTTCCCGGGTTCCCGGTTATTGGTTCTTGGCCGATTTCGGTGGGTTTTGGGTTCACGGCCGATCTCTTTATCGATGTTTTTATCGATCCCACGATTCGTTATCGATTTCATGATCGATCTCTCTAGTCATCTCTCTCAATCGATCTCACCATCGATCTCATCAAACCATCCATTGATTGGGGTTTTTCTTTGGTGTATTTTTTCTTTGAAGGGCGGGGCGCAGGAAAAACATAGCAAAGGTGGAGGAGGAGAAGAGGAGGAGGAGGGTGAATGAGGGTGAGGAGGAGGAGGAGGACGAGGAGGAGGAGGAAGAGGGAGAGGAGGAGGGAGAAAAGGACGCCGCAGAGCACGCAGAGCATTCACAAATGCACGTGCGAAGTCAGTGTGAAAGCCTCGCGCGCGCGTCCTCGACCCCGCCGAGGGATTCCACAATCCCCCGCTCTCGAGGTTTTCGCCATACTGTTGCGCATCGTTTGGGTTGCATGTCGGGCGCATTCTGAAGTAGGAGACGCAGCCAAGGTACGTCGGACCCGGCCTTGCCCGAGATCAGAGGCCGCCCTGCAAGGTAGGCGTTTCCCAAAGACACGCCGCGCAGAGTTCTCGCACGACGACTCCGGGCCTCAATCGCGATGGTTCAGAGTAGACGCCCGGACTCCCCGAGCCCGTCCGATCCGATCCCCGAAGATCGAGGATCGGGGTCTGCTGGACGCTGTGGGCCCTCAGCCGAGTCTCCGAGAGGCCGCCGCCCGTCAAGAGACCTCTCAGGTACCTGTTCCACGGCACCAACCCGGAGGCCGCGTACGCCATCGCGCGCTCCGGCAGCTTCAGCATGGACCTCGGAGGGAGGGAGCAGACCTCGGACGTCCGAGGGTGTTCCGCAGAGCTCGGCCTCCAGAGACAGGCGTCGGGCCCTGGGGCCAGCACAGATGGATCCAGAGTGGGACAGTTCTCTCGGGGAGCGGGTCTGGAGATGGGGCGCCAACAAAAAACATGTCGTCGGATTCCTGGGAGGGAATAGAGGTACCAACGCCCTCGTGCTAGCAATCTTGGACCTCGTGGGGGGGGGGCCTCCTCGCCGGCATCCTGGTCAGATTGCACCTGTGGTCACCGAGCGCGTTCCGCTACTCGCAAAGTGCCTACTCGCAGACGCCCCCCCCCCAACATGGCTTTCTACATGTAAGGGGTCGTAAGTCCCCCGCGGCGGATCCAGGCCATTTGCGAGTAGTCACTTTGCGAGTAGTGGAACGCGCTCGTCCATGTGGGGACCTCGGAAAACACCGTCCGTAAGCATCAACTTTCGGAGGTCCGCCCAGATTTCCTGGAGCGGCGCTACGCCAAGCGCGAGGGCTCCAGCGCCGATCCACAGATTCCTCGCGGAGCTCCGAAAGTTCATCGATAGATCACTGCATACATATATATATATATGCATATATATAAGTGTATATAAATGTGTATATATATATGTAGTAGATGTCTATGTATATATGTACATATATGCATATATATATATATATATATATAGATTTCTATCTTTACTATCTCGCACCAGGAAACCGACAGGGATGGCCCCCCCCAATAGAGTCTGGAAGGCCCCGGGGGTCCCCGAGGCTCTCCTGGGCCGTCCCCGACGGCGTGGAAGACGTTCCAAGAGACCAAGCCCACCCCAAAACGGCCCCAGAGGCTCCCAAGAGGCCCCCAAGACGGCCCCAGACGGCCCAAGAGGTGCCCAAGAGAGCCCCAAGACGGCGCCACGAGGGCTCAAGAAGGGGAGTCCGAACCGAAAATTCGAGCCTTCCACACCAAGCGGCCCCCAGGAGGCCCCAAGAGGTTCCCAAGAGGCCCCAGAGGCCTCCAAGAGGGCCCCCTAAGATGTCCCCAAGACGACCCAAGACGTCCCCAAGATGCCCCAAAGGTGCCACAAGAGGGCCCAAAACACCCCCAAGAGGTTTCGAAATTGCTTCAAAGAGACACCCGAAAAGCTTCCCAAGATATCCCAAAGACCATCCAAGAGGCCTCATATCCACAAACTCGGCATGGTGGCGGGATGGACCGAAGGCCATTCGATAAAACCTGGAAGTCCTTGGGTGTCCGCGAGGCTCTCTCTCTCTCTCTCTCTGGCCCATCCCCAGGGGCCCCAAGGGCCCTAAGGCTTCTCTGGCCCGCCACTTCGGCCACTTGGAACTCGCGTGCAGCGTCCCAGACCACCTCCATGGCCTCGACAGGCCCCGACTTCCCTGATCCAGATCTCCTGGTCGTCCTTCCGCTTCCTGCCTCCTTGATCCGCCCCCGACTCGTCGATTGAGTGTTTCTGTGAAGCTTGTTGGCATCGGCCATTCGTGGACATTCCGATGTGGCGCCTACTCTGTGGAGAGAGGAGGAGGGGAATCAAAAAAGCTTTCGACGCCCCGACTTGTCGCTTGAGTGTTTCTGTGTAGTTTGTTGGCGTCGGCCATTCGCAGACATTTCGATGTGGCGTTTATTTTGGGGAGGGATGGAGGAGGGGGATCAAAAAAGCCTTCGACGCCCAGGTGCGCCTCACTCTCGCCCCGCGTCGACGACAAATGAGGAGCCGAAGCTCGGGGATATTTCATGACGTCGTCGCGCTTACGTGGGCCTCTACGGGGCTTCGAAGGCCACGGCTGCGCCCTTTTGAAGATCTAGCCGCCAAACACCCGTGGGCTGGTCCAGGGGCCATTCTTCGCCCCTCCGAGCCAGCCGGGCCACCCTTCGCGTCAATCCGAACACGATATGGACGGTGCCTTCCTCACTGTCGCCGTTCGCCCTTGGAAACCCCATCTCGAAGCCCCCGCCCCGTCATTTTCCGGGCCCTGGAGCCCCGCGCCTACGACGGGCCTTCAAGCGGTCCGTCGCTGCGAAAAGACCGCCCGAGAAACGCGCGCGCAGCCCCAAGCGCGCCCCCAACGCAGCGCAAAAACTTCCCATGTTCCCACGAAGCCCCCGAACGCCCCGCACATGCTGCAGTCTTCCGAGCCCTTCATCCCCCCCCCCCCGAAAGGACGCCCGAGAGCCCCTGCGGTCCCGAGCACGCCCGGCCGCCAGACGAGCCGCCCAGCAGCCCCCCCCCCCCGAAAGTCTCACAGTTCCATTGGAAAAAAAACAGTAGGCACCCAACCACGCCAGACGCTCGCCGCGCGCCCTCCCCCCCCCCCCAAGCCCATAATAACCCGGGGGCGCACCTGGCCCTTTTTAAGCATGTAGCGAGTATGCGTCGGGTCTCTCAATACAACAACAGCCACTGAATGATCCGCAATGACCTCGATCGCTTCGCCAAAGAACGTCGGACCAGAGTCAGACCTTTCACGTGTGCGGCGTCGCTCTTAAGAGTCAGGCCGATGGCGGGAAAGCGGCCGCGAGGGGTCGTGGAAACATGTGGGAAAGAGGCGATTGGAGACATACTTCGTGGGAGTGGTAGCGCCTTGCGCTGTGTTCGCATTGCAGGGCAGCGCTCTGCGCGCTATGACTGCGCAGCGCCTGCGCTAAACTCAGCATGCGCCCGCGTGCGTTACAAGCAACGGGCAGTCGCAGAAAATATGCAGTATGGGCAACGGACAGCGCCATGCGCCATGCGCTGCGCGGCGCTCGCGCACGCCGCGCCATTCCGCTTGCCCTCCCAGAAGCCCATCGCGGCCCTCCAGGGGACGGCGAGGTCTCGTGGTGATCCGCGCCGCATGACGCACCTCCGCTGGGCCCCCCAGAATCCCGCGAAAGTGGTTACAGGTTCGCAGATCGCAGCCCCCCAGGGAACGGTTTCGTGGCGACCCGCGTAGGACGCACTTCCGCTGTGCCTCCCAGGAGCCCGCGAAAACGGCGACAGTTTCGCAGATCGCAGCCCCCCAGGGGGCGGCGAGGTCTCGTGGTGGCCCGCGTGGGACGCACCTCTGCTCGGCCTCGCAGGAGCCCACGAAAGTGGCGACAGTTTCGCAGATCGCAACCCCCATCAGACCCCCAGGGGACGGCGAGGTCTCGTGGTGATCCGCATATGACGCACCTCCGCTGGGCCTCCCAGAAGCCAGCGAAAGTGGGGACACTTTCGCAGATCGCAGCCCCCCCGGGGGACGGCGAGGTCTCGTGGTGATCCGCGTATGACCTGCCGCCGCTGGGCCTCCCAGAAGCCGTCGAGAGTGACGGCTTTTTCGCAGACCGCAGTCCCTCAGGTGACGGCGAGGTCGCGTGGTGATCCGCGTAAGACGTACCTCCGCTTGGTGGCGACATTTTCGCAGATCGCACCCCCCCAGGGGACGGTGAGGTCTCGTGATGATCCGCGTATGATGCACCTCCGCTGGGCCTCCCAGAAGCCAGCGAAAGTGGCGACAGCTTCGCAGATCGCAGCCCCCCAGGAGACGGCGAGGTCTCGTGGTGATCCGCGCATGACGTACCTCCGCTGGGCCTCCCAGGAACCCACGAAACCGGCGACGGTTTCGCAGATCGCAGCACCCAGGGAACGGCGAGGTCTTGTGGTGATCCGCGTATGACGTACCTCCGCTGAGCCCTTCAAAACATTCGAAAATGACGACATGTTCGCAGCACCCCCCCAGGGGACGGCGAGGTCTCGCGGTGATTCGCGTAGGACGTACCTCCGTTGGGCCTCCCAGAAGCAAGCGAAAGTGGCGACACTTTCGCAGATCGCAGCCCTCCCCAGGGGACGGCGAGGTCTCGTGGTGATCCGCGTATGACGTACCTCCGCTGAGCCCCCCAGAAGCCCACGAAAGTGGCTACAGTTTCGCAGATCGCAGCCCCCCAGGGGACGGCGAGGTTTCGTGGTGATCCGCGTATGACGTGCCGCCGCTGGACCTCCCAGAAGCCGTCGAGAGTGACGGCTTTTTCGCAGACCGCAGTCCCTCAGGTGACGGCGAGGTCGCGTGGTGATCCGCGTAAGACGTACTTCCGCTTGGTGGCGATATGTTTGCAGATCGCACCCCCCCCAGGGGACGACGAGGTCTCGCGGTGATCCGCGTCTGTCGTACCTCCGCCTGGCATCCCAGAAGCTAACGAAAATATGGCGACGGTTTCGCAGATCGCACCCCCCCCAGGGGACGACGAGGTCTCGCGGTGATCCGCGTCTGTCGTACCTCCGCCTGGCATCCCAGAAGCTAACGAAAATATGGCGACGGTTTCGCAGATCGCAGCCCCCCAGGGAACGGCGAGGTTTCGTGGTGATCCGCGTATGACGTACCTCCGCTGGGCCTCGCAGGAGCCCACGAAAGTGGCGACAGTTTCGCAGATCGCAGCCCCCCCCGGGGACGGCGAGGTCTCGTGGTGATCCGCGTATGACGTGCCTTCGCTGGGCCTCCCAGGAGCCCACGAAAGTTGCGACGGTCCCGCAGATCGCAGCCCCCCCCCCCAGGGGACGGCGAGGTCATGAGGCAGGGAAAAAGGACGAAGACGAAAACGAGGAGGAGGATAATGGAAAGAGGAAGGAGGATGGGGAGGAGAAGGAGGGGGAGAAGAAAGAGGAGGAGGAGGAGGAGGAGGAGGAGGAGGAGGAGGAGGAGGAGGAGGAGGAGGGGGGGGGGGAGGCAATGGAGGAGCAGCAGGAGGATGGGGAGGAGGAGGAGGAACATGAGGAGGAGGAAAAGGAGGTGGGGAACGCAGTGCTCTATTCAAAACGAGTGCCCAACACAGGAGGGTGGTTGACAAAACACCCTTCCTTTCACAACCTCCTCGACGACGTCGTCATCATTACCATCATCCGGCCTTGGTGATTCCTGTCTTCCGAACCGAAGGCCCCGTCACTTGCTCCCTCCCCCCCCTCCAGCCCACGTCTCCAACTGGCTCCCGAACCCTCCACCTCCCTTGTGCCCGGCGGCACCACTATTACTTCATCATTATTGTAGTCCCGCGTCTCCTTCATAATGTCACGATCGCCGCTCTCATCATCCATTGCTGCGGGCCCAGACTGCCGAAACACCCCCAAGAGCGGTTCCAGAAGGCCTAAGACCACCTCAAGATGACCGACGACGGCGACGACAACGTCGTCGTCGCCGTCGTCGAACCGCGCACACCTCTTCCACCACCCCATGTGCTTTGCCGTCTCCCGCAGCCCCCTATGCCTCCACATGTAGCTGCGCTTCGGCCCAACACGCCCGTTTGTCCTCCACCCCCCCGCCGCGCACACGGTGCACTATACCAAGACTTTCAAACGAAGCGCCGCGAGCTTCAAGTCTTGTATATCTATATATACACATATGCATATCTTAATATATGTATCTATATACATATATATATGTATATAGATACATATACATACATACATCACCCGCGGGGTGTCCTTTGGGAGGTTGGCCAATCACTGTCAGCGCAGCGCTGACGTGCAGTTGACAGGGGGTCGCACGTCTGGAGGCAAAGGCTACTGCCGCGCGATGGAATTTCGCTGCAGGGCGGGTGTTGCGTGCTGCTGATACAATCGTTCTGATACTCTCCACCCATCTCGTGGTATGTACAACAATTGTTCTGGTGTGCATAACGAGGCCCTTGACCTGGGGCGCGTTATTAAGTCTCACCGGAAATATAGAATGGCCTTCAGCCCATCCCGCCACCGTGCCGGGGTTGTGGGTTTGAGGCCTCTTGGATGTTCGTTGGGATCTCGTCAGGGCCTTTCGGGGGCCTCCTAGAGGCAGTTCTGAGGCCTCTGGGCAGCTGTTTCGAGACCTCTTTTGCGCCTCTTGTAGGCCTCGTGTGGGGCCACTCGGGCGCCTCTTTGGGGTCTCCCGAAGCCTCTTGGGGCCTCCCGGGTGCCTCTTAGGGTGGAAGGTTTGGATTTTCGGTTCGTGCTCCCCCTCTTGGAGCCGTCTTGAACGCCTTTTGGGCCCTCTTGGGCCGTCTTGGGGCGGCCTTTGGGGCCTCTGTGGCCGTCTTGGGGCGGTCTTGGTGCCCCCTTGGGCCTTGGGTCGTCTTAGAGAGTCACAGAGAAGCTCAACACAGAAGAGAACCCCAAAAGCCAAACGCATTGAACAACTTGAGGACAATCCATGATGTGGGCCTCTCGGAGTCCTCTTGGGGAGGCTCCTGGAGGCCTCTTGGGGTGTCTCGCAGGCTTCTTGGGCCATCTTGGAGCTGCCTTGAGTGTTCTCGTCCGATCATGTAGCGATTCGGGGCCGTCTTGGGGCCCCCCTTGGCCCGTGAGAGTCATGCGACAAGATGCGGATGAACCCCGAGGGCACGCGTCAAGGCCCGGGAGACTTGTGAATTCGGGGTCCGGGCCCTGAAGGAATCCTCGGGATTGAGGACTGAGGCTTGAGGGATTCGGCAGAGGACCGGAGGACACTCCAGCTCGTGCATCTCGAGGGCACGGTGGCGGACACACCACACCCTGTCTTGACGGGGGTCACGGGCCTGCCAGGATTCGGAAACCGCAGCGCTCGGGGGAAGGGCCGCCCTCCGCGGCCGCGTTTCACCCCCGTGGCGGAGAGCCGCTCTGCTCGGCCTTGCGCCTCCCCGCTACGTTAGTGGCAAAGTTAGATATTGTCCCGTGCCGAACCCTTGGTATTCGCCAGCATGCATGTTCGCAGTGTGTCCTGCAGCTCTTATGTTTCAAGCCAAAGGCTCATACACAGATGTGTGTAGACATATCTATATATCTATACATTATACATACACACGTGTCCATGCAATAAAGTCCTGGGAGTACAGCAGTACCAGTGCCTTTCTGGTGTTCCCGCAGGACCGCGCAGGGACCTGCCGTGGGAGCATGCTCGGCGCGGGCATTTACCTCGCGGACATCAGTGGAGAAGCATCGACCCCTGCTTTGGGGGGGCACTCCCACCTATCAGCATATGCCGAAGCGGCTCCTGGATGGAGAGTGCCGGGGCAAGTCGAAGAACACAAATCTGCGCAAACATGAGTTTTCAGATGTCCGCGCGGATTTCTTGGGTTGACGCTTGCGGCATCGCCCCTGGCGCGCTGCCAGGGAGGGGGGAGCCCGGCGCAGATTCAAGAAATCCGTGAGGAGTTCCGAAAGTTTGTGTTTATGTATTCTTCTTCATCTGTATCAGCATACGAGCCCCCAGACGGAGAGTGCAAAGGAATGCGGGCGTTTGCTGCGACCTGGTACGCCAGTAGCTAGGGCGTGCAGGTCAGCTCTCCCCTCCCAGGAGAACTCGTCCAAGAGCGACGAGTACGCGAAGGAGGGCGACGGGGTGTACGTGGACCTCTGCGCCATGCTCGTGTGCAGGGCCGTTGCTGGGGAGGTCCTGACGGTGACCACCACCGGCGACCAGACCTCGAAGGTCCGCGGCGGCAGCTACGACGCCGTCTGCGGGGACCGACTGGCAGCAGCGGGAACCTATCGCGAAATCGTCTTCTTCAACGAGGAGGCGGTGTACCCGGAGTTTGTTGTGATCTATTCTCGCGTCTACGACGAGAGGACGGCTGCTGACGTGTCCCTGTCTTCACCAATCAGGCACATTGCCGTGATGGTGTTCTCTGCCATCGTCCCTCATCCCCCTCCTCCTCGCTTCTCCTGTTCCTGCTGATTGTCCTCGTTTCTCTTTCGTCATGTTCCTCTTCCTCTTGCTCAGCGTTCTGCTCATCCGCCACCCGCCCACTTCCACCAATGTACAAAACCCCTCTGTCTGGTTACACACCACGCGATGGAGTCATTTGGGGGATCGAGGTCCTCCGCGACCTCCCACGGATACAACAGAATCCAGCGCAATGGGAAAGGATGGGTGAGATGGGAGCGATGTCTGATATGGAGCGAGCGCGCCTAGCTTGTCATCCTCCCCCTCCTACTCCTCTCGCTCTTCCCGGGGGTCTCCTGATCCTCACCCCTACCCCCCTGTCTCGCTCCACCCTCGTCCTCCCTCCGCCCCCGCACCCATCCGTTCTCCTCCCTCCCCCTGCCCTCGTCTCTCCCTTTCTGCCCCGTCGTCCTGCCCTCCGCCTCCTCCCATCCCAGCGTCCCCTCTGGAGCTCCTTCGGTGCCCGAGCACACTCGGTCGCGGAGCGGGCCGCCGACCGGGCTCAATTCCGACGGGGTGGCTCGAGGTTGGCCCGCTCGGCGGCCGAACGGGCTCCATCCCGATGCCCACTCGGCGGCTGAGTGGGTTCAGACGCCGAGCGGGCCCAGAAAGGAACCTTGGGGTAGAAGGACCCCCCTCCCCGCTACTCCGTCGTCCTCCCCCTCTCCCCTTTCTCTCCCGCCTCCTCCATCCATCCTTGTGACTTGCTCCTCCCTGTCTCACCTTCAAACGTGTCGGTAGGGCGGGCCGGGAGTTTCGCCTGAGACGTCTTCACCAGTCATGATCTTGAATATTGAGCTTTGCGACGGTTTGAACAGATGGAGGGCGGGTGATTTTCAAAATGTGGCTCTCGCCTCAACGCCGCGCATTTTCATGTCAAAAGTTCGCAACAGCTTCAAGGACGGAGGTTGGCCACTTTTCCAAATGTGGCTCTCGCTTTAGCGCCGCGTGCATTCGTTTCAAAACTTTGCAGCAGCATCAAGTGTGGAGGGGGGCCCGTTTTCAAAATGTGGCTCTCGCCTTAGCGCCGTGCACATTCGTCTTAATAGCTTGCAAGAGTTACAACGATGCAGGGCGGGTCGTTGTCAAAATGTGGCTCTCGCCTTAGCGCCGCGCACATTCGTTTCAAAAGTTCGTAACAGCTTCAAAGGGGGAGGGTGACCAAGTTTCCAAATGTGGCTCTCCTCCGCAGCGCCGCGCATATTGTTTTCAAAAACAAAATACGTTTTAAAAAGTGTAGTAACATCAACGGTGGAGGGCGGTCTGTTTTCAAAATGTGGATCTCGCCTGAGCACCGCGCACATTCGTCTTAAAAGTTTGCAGGAGCTTCAATGGTGGAGGGGAGTCCGTTTCCAAAATGTGTTTCTCGCTTCAGCGCCGCGTTCATTCGTTTCAAACAAAAGTCCGTGACACATCCGACGGCCAGCGGGACAGGTCAGCTCTGCCGACGCACAGAAACGTCAAACTAGGCCACATGATCATACGCTAGTCGAACAAGAAGGTTGGATAAGGGGGGGAGGGGAGGGTGGGGGAGCGGCAACTAGGCTGGTCCTCGCCTGGGCTTATTTCTTAAAACAGTCGCTCAACTTCAGCCCTGAGGAAGCGAAGCATCGTCGTGTTTATTTGGGAAAAGGATCATGCAGACAGTTGCTAGGGCTCAAACTGGGTTCATGCTTGGGGACCTAATCTCCAGTACGGAACTCTACGGTATAGCCCTCCCGACCTTGAGGAGGAAGAGCATCATCGTACTCATCTTGCTCGGGAAGTGGTGTGCACGTGGCCTTCACGGGGGCCTTGGTCAGGCCGTGCATCTGGACCTTCGGGCTGTCGATGGTGCTATTGGCCATCACGCGGTCAACGGCCCTATCCCCTTTCATGTCCTCGGCATTGCCCTTCGCGTTGTCAGTGGTGTCGTTGCCAATGACGATCGTGCTACCCATGGTGTCAGTGCCACTGACGATGAACTGCGACTGCAGAGTATGGTCCGCCTCAGCGTCGTTTGCGCCACTACCGAAGACAACAGCGATTCCAGTGGGCCAAACCCATTCAAGAGGACTTGCGTGGGCGTGTTCTTTCTTGGCATGCGACGTGCCCGTTACGTTGCTTGTGGTACGGCATCCAATGACAGTCTCGTTTGTGATGGCAGCTCCTTTCAAACAGAGGACGTCGGCTCTAAGCTCGACGGTGATGCTTTTGATGTCGACGAGCGCTTCCGTGCTTGCCTGCGCCTCCAGAGTGGCTTCAGCGGGCACCTTACTCATGCTAATGCCCCTGTGCTCCAGCACATCGCTCAAGGTGGTGCTGGGCTCCTGGTGCTCCACCACTCCCCTGCCCATGTTTGACCACATCACGTCCTTCACGCTTCTGGCGACATCGTCTTCCGTGGAATTGATCTTCTTGCCGTGACACTTTGGCTCGAAGAGTCTGATCTTCGCCTGCACCCCGCTGCTGGCGGCGCTCTTGCCGTGGGTATCGTCCATCTGCTCTGCGATGCACGCCTTTGATCATGAACTGACAACTAGCACCCAGATTTCTCGGGATGGAATTCCGCGGGGGGGCTATGGGTGTGTGCATGTTGTCGGATGCGGGTCCCCTCTCGAACGGGAGCCCCCCTCGGGGTTCGACAATTCGCGCCCATCTCTATACGATAAGTATGGGTGCGATGAAGGCGCTTTACTAGCGCCTTCACCGCACTGCCCTTCTCCATTTCTCCTCCCGATAGGTTCGAGTGTACGTCATTGTTCGCCTGTTGTTCGTTCATCCCAGTGCTCGAATTGCTCGCCGCTTGGCCTAGAGCTGCCTTTCCCTACGCCAGAATATGGCGCGAACTTGCTAGCAATGATCCGCTCATTCGCCTGCGCGCTGCTGCCGGTGGCTCATGCCGGTGGCCTCGATGTGAGCATCACCCAAACATATTTATATTATGTGTGCGTCGGCCCCGCAGGCGCGACGCGCACGCTCAGAAATGTGAGCCAGCGTAGACCCCAAACAGTGTGTCTCAGCGTACTGCGCAGGGCAGCATATGCAGTGCAATCGATGTGTTGCAGCCTATGTGGTGCAATGTATGTGGTGCAATCCATGTGTTGCAATCTCTGGGGTGTAATATATGCTTTGATCTATGTGGTGGAACGTATGTAGTGCAATATATATATATATATATATATATATCTATGGTGCAACTGATTGTAACAAGCGAAATGACTCATTCCATGTTCTTGCAAACATCCCACCACCAACCCGCAACCTGGCTTGCAACACCCATGCGGTGGCAACTGCGATGCATGCTTGGCGTTGGCTGGTGCATCTTTGCGGCCGCGCCAACCCTAGCACGCGCGCGCAGCGGCCAGCTAGTTTGGCGCCACCGACACGGCCGCGGTGGCGCTGACCGCTGGGCACATCCCAGCGGGCACTTCACTGCGAGTCGACGACTTGGGCGGGCGCGGTATCATGGCAATGTCGGCAACAGTAGAGAAGATGATGAAAGTAGCGATGCTGGTGACGATGTTGACACCGACGAAGGCGCGGCCAGTGCGGGCGCCGATGCTGATCACGCTGATGACGATGACGGTGTCCTCGCGTCGGTGATGAAGGTTTCGGAAAAAGTTCGACATGCACGCGCGGCCGGCGCGCGAGAGTGGCCCGCATGGTTTTCTCTGACACGGATCGTGCCCCCCCTTCCAACACGCGCGCAAGGGCGTGCGAATGATGTCGGCATGCGGCGCCAGAGGACCATTTGGCAGAATTCCATGAACATGTTGAAAAAAAAATTTGGTTCTCCGAAAAATGCGGAAGGGCGCGGGCGCAGTTTTTTTTTTGGTTTTTGAAAATTTGTGTTGCGAAAGCATGTGCTGATTGGATTGTATGGTGGGTCGGACGCTCGGATTTGAAAACGCTACGGAACCGCAGGTCTTTGACATATTCCGACATGCGCGCGCGACGACGCGCGCGCGTGCACTTCGTCACGTTTTTCTGGTTTGCAAAAAGTTCTCGCGACGCCACGCGTGCAAGGGCGTTCGAACGATTTCGACATGCGCGCGCGAAGCCAACTTGGTTTCATGTTATGAAAAATGTTGAAATACCTTCCTCTCGTTTTCTCAAGAATCCGTACGACCGCGCGCGCACGTTTTTCCCATCCATCCTGTGATGTTCGTTCCTCGTTTCGAAAAGACAGCGCCCCGCGTCCCTTCCTTTCCGTTGCCCCTTCCCTCCTCTCCATCTTCCCTCTTTCTTCGTCATCGTCATCGTCATCCTCGTCATAGGGATCTTCAGCGAAGGCCCCAGCGGGAGCGTCCGCATGGCACGGCCGCCCTATTTCGACAAACCCCTCGCACGGTTCGTGGCCGCATAGGGAACCCCACCGAAGGCCCCAACGGGAGCGTGCGCATGGCACCGCCGCTCCACCACTCACACGGCGCGTGGCCCCATAGGGAGCTCCACCGAAGGCCTCAACGGGAACGTCCGCATGGCACCACCGCCTCATTTTGGCACACCCCTCACACGGTTCGTGGCCCCATGAGGAGCTCCACCGAAAACCGCAGCGGGAGCGTCCGCATGGCATTGCCGCCCCATGTTGGCAGACCCCTCACACGGCGCGTGGCCCCAGAGGGAGCTCCACCGAAGGCCCCAGCAGGAGCGTCCGCATGGCGCCGCCGCCCCATTTTCGGCACACCCCTCACACGGGCCGTGGCCCCACAGGGAGCTCCGCCGAAGGCCCCAGCGGGAGCGTCCGCATGGCACCGCCGCCCCATTTTGGCACACCCCTCACACGGTTCGCGGCCCCATAGGGAGTTCCACCGAGGGCCCATTGGCACCGCTGCCCCATCCACACGGTTCGTGCTCCCAGAGGGAGCTCCACCGAAGGCCCCAGCGGGAGCGTCCGCATGGCACGGGCCGCGCACGGGGCTTGGGCGAAACCAAAAAGACCCCCCGCTCGCCCGCATCAGTTTTTCTCTCGCTCTTGCACGCCGCAGTCCTTTTTGCTGCCCCCCGTCCTTCGTCTCCTCTCTCTCGCAGTACTCGCAGCAGCATATGGTCGGGTCCTTCGTCAGGCTAATGTTTTGAAAATCCGTGGTGCGAAACTATGTGTTCTTTATATGTTTGTTGGGCACTCGATTTTGAAATCTTTCCGAAACCTATTGTTTTCGTAGGATTTCGGCACGCGCGCGCGACGACGCGCGTGCGCGCACTTCGTTTCATTTGGGCATGGGGTTCTTGACAACTCATGGTTTTTTATAAACGAGTTCGCGCTTAGTAATTTTCGCAGAGGATGGCGGGGGGGCTGATACCGGCCTGGCTGGGATGGTATGAACTCACATGTAGGATGGACGATGGGGCATAATCATATGCAAATTGCTATACGACAAGGGAGGTTGATAATCCGGGGGGGGGTTCGAGTATATTCTGTAGGCGGCAACGGGACGGCGACGGCGGCAACATAGCCGCCAGACCGCTACCCAGGCCCAGACGGCGGGCGGCGACGAGGTGGCGAGGCGGCGACGGGGCGGCAACGGCGGCAACAGAATTTTAGACTATGCTGTTCACGGGATCCCACGTGCCAGAGCTGAAGGGGGGTCAGGCGGCGCACGCGTGCACCGTCAGGCTTGCACGAATACAGACAAACAACAGGAATATCCGACACAGCAGCGGGACGCGAGGCGAATCCAGACGAGAGCGAGCGTGGGGCCGCATGCCCCAAAGTATGTTCGAAAGCCCCCGCGCGGGACCGGCACGAGCCCGAAATGTGTCTCCAAAAATCGGTACCTGACCTGGCATTCCAGGTGACCCTCCAGGCCCAGAGAGTCCACGTGCGGAAACACCCCACACAGGCCAACCAGCCCCTTCTGGCCGAAGGCCGTAAAAGATTGCACATAGCAGTACGTGGCACAAACGGGAGGGCGGGAGGGAGGTGCGAAGGAGCAGGATATCAGATCATGACTCCCCAGCTTAGGCACCTTACTTGGGATCCCCCCAAAGCCAATACTCATTCATTATCATTAGACGTCATGGGGAGCTACGAATTGCGCCTCCTAATTGTTGCTTTGATGCCCGTCCTGGGCCTAGCCACTTCGGGCCTTGGCTCCGACGCAGCGCAGCCGAGCGACATCGAGTCACCCTTCAGAGCCCGCAAGGTGCGGGAGAGGCGAGCAGCCAGTGGCCTACGCACCACCTTGGACTCCTCCAGCGCGTCGGCCATGGCCGTGCCTGGAGCCTGCCAGAACTGCTCACCCTCACGAATGTCGCTGTCGGTCATGATCGCACGCCTCTGGATCAGGACGTGCGTCTTGGTGTAGCGCTGGAGCGCGCTGGACGTGTTCCAGCGGCCCCTCCTCCTTGCGACCTCCAAGTCACCCCCGTTCGCCACGAAGAGCGCGGCCCCCGCGTGCCGCAGGCTGTGCGGGGGGCCGAACTCCTCCAACCCCAGCCTGCTGAGGCTGGCGTTCCACTCCTTCCTCTACTTGTCGGGCGTGGTGGGGGAGACGAGGTCGTCGGGGCCCAGGTCGTCGATCAAGCACTTCATGACCCCCTTCGCCAGCTCGGTCGTCAGCTCGACGCCCTGGCCCGAGCCCGTCTTGACCCTCTCGCCCCTGGAACGGTCTCCCAGTAGCAGTGCGATGCGGCCCGGTTTGTCGATGCTCACGTCGCGTCTCCTGAATCCTGCTTAGTCCTGCTCTATCAGCCAACCGTCGAGCTGGACGACGACGGCGCAGGCCTCCAGTAGCTACCTGTGCTTGCACAAGTCAGTCCGTCACAATCAGGGCCACCCCTTGGAGCGGGATGGGTTGCCCCTCCTGCGCCTGCTGTTGCCGTTCCCACGCCTTGAGAGCCCTCGCGGAGAGCGGCAAGCAATTGCGATGAGCCTCAAAGATGTGCATGAAGCCGTTGAAAGTCACGCTGCCGCTCCCATATCCCAGCCCGCGTACGTAACATTGATCCGCCAGGTATGCTGCTAGAGCCTTGTCCCGCTGGTGCACCGTCCCGAAGGGAACACCCAAGCGCTTGGTGTCGATGAGGAACTCCCTGACGGCCTTCTCGTACACGAGGTTGGTCTTGTCGTCGACCGCGTGGATCGCCAACCTGTTGGTGAACTCCAGCTTGTCGTTGTGTGCGTTCGTCCAGGCCAACACACCTCTAGTCTTCAGCGGTGGTGGCCTCGATGATGGGCGGAGCGCCCCGACGGAGCACACCAAACCGAAGAGAAGCAGGGGGCCCCAAGAAGGCCGTGACCTCGCAGCCGTGCCCCGAGGGGGGTGATACACGAAGACACACTCCTCGACCCCGTCCAACGCGTCAGGCTTCACCAAAGAAACATCAGCGCCATCAGCACAGGACCCCGCAATGCACGTCCCGATCAGATCTTCCCGACCGTCGCCCTCAGCGCCTTCGGGGTGTACCGCCATTTGTGCTCTTCCTTCGTCGCCTCCGCTGCTCCGATGCCCAGCCCCCGACTCGGTCCGTCGGAAACGTTGTCCTCCGAGGCGACCCACCTCAGGTGCAGCTTGCTGCCACAGACGAGCACCACCGCCGCAGCCTGTTTTGCCAGATGCAGTAAGCCAACCGCTGATGAACGCCCCTTCGCCAAGACTCCCATGGATATCAAAGAGTCCGAGAACACCAACGCCCTCTTGCCCCAGCAAGGCCGCGATCGGGAAAGGTGACGAAGCAAGGCAACGATCGCGCGCAACTCGAGGATGTTGTCGTGCTCCTCCTTGGCCCACTCCCCCTGGAAGAGCACGGCCCATCTCGAAACAGTCGCCCATGAAGCACAGGCGGGCAGCGCCTGCCCCCTCGCGCGCACGATCTTCAGCTGGCCCTGCTCGATCCTTCCCCGCGCCCCAGCGGTGACTCTGCACCAGTCGGGCGAGATCCCCGTCACTATCTCGCAGTACACTTGCCGCCAAAGAGCTCCGT